AGATTGAAAATAAAAATTAATAAAATCAAAGTCAATTTTTAAAATCAAAATCAATTTTTAACTTTTTTACAATTCTACTGACTATTTTTTTTATCAATTTTAAATTGTAATAAAAACCTGTAATTAAAATGATAAAAAATTGAATTTGAATGAATAAAACAATTGAATAATGAAATTTAACTAAAATTAAAAAAAGGAAAAATTATTTTTAGTTCTGACAATATCTATTTTTCAATAATTAGTGAAGAAAGGTTAAAAATTCGTAATAAAAAATTATACTTCCCAAAAAAAAAAAAATAATAAAAAAATAACAAAATATATTTTGCTGGGTAATTTTTTTTTAATGCAAGTGCTAAAAACTAAATGAAGCCACTATTATTTGATAAAAATTAAGAAAAAATCTAAATGCATTCTAAAATTTTGTGCTCCAACAATTTTACTAAATTTTAATGCAAGCAGAAAATTTAAAATAATATTTAATTTTTTTTTATAAGAATACCTTCACAAAAATACTAATTTTGGTGCTATAAATATTTGCATAAGTGTATATGTGTATTTATGTATAGATTAGTGTTAATTTTCGAGGACTAGTAATTTTTTATGTTCTAAACTTAAATACGAATTTATTTTATATTCTACTTATTTATTTATTAAGTACTATTTTTTTCGAAACTTAGTACTAAATTTATTTACTGAGTTGCTTCTAAAATTTATAATATTTTTAGTTACAAGAACTAAATTCTTTAGATAAAGTATTTCCATAATTCATTCAAAAAAAGTTAGTACTAAAATTTTTTAGTACTCATGTTTTAGTACTAAATTCTTAGTACAAAAATTTTTGTCCTAGTACTTTAGTTACTGATTTTTTATTATTAAATTTAAACCCAAAGTAACGATTGGAAAACACTCTATAAAATAATTGTTATAAAGCAACAAATTCTTTCATGCTATAATATAGAGTATTTTAGCTTTAGAACCCCGTTGAAAGAAGTTTTTAAATTATCTTACTATTACTACTCCATTTTCTTCACATACATATGTTTGCATATTTAAATATTTTTAGTACCAAAATTAGTTATTGAAAGTTGGGTTAGCATTGCTGTTGTAAATATCTAACCGTTTGTGATCACTGAATTCGTGCTAAAATTTTCTACTACTACTTGCTAAAAATTAACAACAAAAAACATAAAAATGTTGTTGTTGTATTTAAAGTGTAAGTGTATAAACTTAAAGACATATTTTATAATCAAAATATAATTTTAAACTATTTACCACTATTACTACTACTACTACTACTATAATTACTTTGTTATATAATTTAGCACACTGTTTTGTGCCTTTTTCATTAAACAAGCACATAACTATTTGGTCGCTAAGATTTCAATACTACATAGTTTATTCATTATTTATTTTTAACTGCACTAAAGTACAGTCTCAATACTGGTTATAGTGTCGGTTTGCCGGAGTGTTTCGTTTAGTACCTTTTGCACGTCAGTACTAAATTCCTCGACTTGTTTGCCGTGTGCCACTTTAAGTTTTTCCATAGCACGTCCCTGTTTAACACCGATTTGCTGGCGGAAAAGAATAAGCGAAAGTAATATTTATTAAGTTATAGTTTTTTAGCTATAAAAAGCAATTACGATATATTTTTGCAACAAAAGTTTTAAAAAGATTTTTGATTGGAGCGCCTATTACACAGATGACAGATTAAGCGGTTAGACCCGTCTACGATTTTTCATAAACCGATTTTTTTGATTTTAAAATACGTATTACTGTTCTAAAAACTTTATTCAATGGGGGAACTGAAAGTAGGGATCCTCCTCACTAAGATAATTTTGAGTATTAGTAGCCATTTTGTTTCAAAACTTCCGAAGATACCTACTTAGCTTAGTTCATTGACCTAATGAGCGTATTAAAAGTCGACAAATTTTTTTTTTACATTTATTATACTTGTAGTTCAATAAAATCTGATAGAGGGAAATTTGATTATTTCCTTTTTCCAAGAATAAATGATCGAAATTAAGCCTCTTTTTGAGAGCTCTAGGTTTGTCTAATTCCTTAAGCTGAGTTTAGGTTCGTAGGCTTATCCACAATATGGTGAACACTTAAAAAAATTCAACTCCTCTATTCGATCTAATAAGTCGACAAAACGCCTTAAGGCCAATACAAATTTGCTTAGATGTTTAATTTCTATTCCTACTAGCCCAATGGGATATCTAAAAGTGTTTAAGTCTCCCAAATACGGGACATGAGATGTTTCTGAAGCAGGCATCAGTTAAGTTTTTCGACCATAAACGCATGGCTGGTGAGCTCATGGCTAGTAACATCGCCCTACATTCACTTCTCTAAAGAAGGTTCCACCAGAGAGCACGCTAACTCGATGGCAGCAACCACGGCTTGAAAGATACTACGGTAGTTAGGAAATCTATTACTTTCACCAACCTTCTCATCGAGCTTTAACTTATCCGTCATGAAGTTCACTGGCTCTCTCCTCCAGCGGCTTCTACCTACCCACAGGGAGTTGTATGGCATGTAAGCTGAAGAAATACCGCCAGAGCTTAGCTTTACAATCAAAAGATCCAGTATAAAGTCAAATTATGTCAAGATTTCCAAATGTTCGGACCCATGTTTAAGTTCCTTATGTTTAAAGTGTAACAAGCTCCACGCTCGAAGAACTTGTCAACTTCACATATCGTTTATATCTCTAAGTAGTACAATAATATTAATATTGTGCCTCACCTTTTTCTCTTCCATAAAGCGTTTGATATTATTTTGTCGCTTCTCACGCAGTCGTCGATCCTTCTCATTCTTCGTCTTCAATGTTTTGTCATTTTGCACCTCTTTGGCGGTATCAGCGGAGGTTTTGGCTTGTTTAGCATTCAAGTCTTTAATATCACTGTAAAAGATTAGACACCAGAAAAGGTTAGTTATTGAATTGAACACCAAATATCCTTCGGCCTTACCGCGCGTGCCGTTCCTCCAACTGCTTCACCTGTTGCGCCTGTACGGTCAACATTAAAGCCTTCATTGCTTCTTGCGAGTCCTGCACATGCTGCCGCAACATGTCCCATTCCTCTTTCTTGTGTTTGGCAATCATCTCGGTCCACTGTTGCGTCTGCTCGGTAATTGCGTTCTTGATCGTGGTGTCGTTGCGGATTTCATCTTTGCTGTGGAGATAAGAGGTAGACATTTATTTTCATATAAGTTCACATTACAACCATTTCGAATCAGTGTCCAACCTTTTGCCCTTGATTAGCCGATCAATAGCCGCATTCTGATTCTTCTGCATGGTCATGCGTTCCTTGGTGTGTTTCTTCTTAAGCGTATCAAGCTCTTTGTTTTGCTTTTTGGCCACCTTTTGGAAGCCCTTCTCACCGCGCAGTGATTCTAACGTAACTGGCTCGAATACCAGTGGTGGCTCCTTCTTCTCCTCTTCCTTGGCTTTGCCTGCATCACGTGCCGCACCACCGCTCTGTTCTTCAATGCCCAGCGCCTTCATTTGTTCATTTTGTTTTGCTGCAGCGCCCGCAAATCCTTTCGGATCCGACAGCATGGCCATGAAATCTTCAAAGCCATCAGGTACATAAATCTTTAATTCGATGTTGACGAAAAGCATAGGCAACGACATTGGGAAATTCGCTTCGGTACGTAGCGAGACGTGACGATAGCCGGCCTGTAAACCGTCCAACGGTAATATACGTTGTCCAATCATTTTGCCGCTCTCTTCATAGACGCCGAAACGTAACACAGCCAAATCGGGCAGCACCACTTTACGAAAGACAAACGGATCCTCATTGTATACGGGATTCAAACCGTTGTTAGGCACCAAACGTGTACGAAACTCTTTCTTTACGGTGTCCGAGGGTAGACCGAACATGTCGACTTCGACGTAGGTGCCGACTTTTTTATCTGACAAGAATTGACCGGCTATTATTTTCACGGAGCACTGCGCGGCAATGACACCGTCCACGGGCGCATCGGCAAACGGATCAAAATCCTTGTCTGAGCGGCGCATAAAATCCGGTTTGAGCAAGTAGCCACAGCCACCGTTATATTCAAATTTACCCTGATTCAATTGCATAGGCAGATCGGAGGTTTGGAAATTGAGCGAGACCATCTGACAGCCAGCGTTCCAGAACACTTGTGGCATATAGTTGGAAGAGTCGGCGCGTGTGCCTTTCGGGTAAATGCGCGACATTTGACGTTTATTATAATTGACAAAGTCGATGGAGCTCTGTTTAAGATAATTCATGCCAGCCGCTTCGGCGAACGACGACATGTTGTGAGCGATATTCTTTTCTGTAAAATAAAGAAAATATTCGTATAGAGTTTTAGTTATTAAAAAAGGGTTTCCATATGAAAATATTTACCAATAGCTTTATCGAAGCCTTGGAATTTAATGGGCTGCGCATAATTGACCATCGATGACAGCCAGGGGTGTACATTCGTCGTGGAGCCGCTGTAATTGACCGCTGCTGCTTCCGCTTCAGGCGCAGCACCATCTGCGCCGGGCTCGCCCGCTGGTGGTGCAGCGGCAGCCTCTGGTGGTGGCGCCGCCTCAGGTGGTTTGGCGCTGGCATCTTCCTCCGGATCATCATCGGTCTTCAGTTCACCCTTTAACCAGAGCTCCAATTCGACCTTTTCGACTTCCGGCTTCATGCGTTTATTCTTTATTAGTATTTTCCGTTTCAATTTATTAGGCGGTGGGAGTGGTAAACCAGGATCGAGCTGTATTGAAGTAGCAATTAGCACAATATATGCGAAGCTTTTGTTTAATGACTCACCGGATGTTCGGGCAACGGTTCTTTTAGTAATAGTTCACCGAAGAAGTCATCACAGTATTTAGCTAATTTATATTGCTGCGCACGATTGCAGTGATTCTCAAAGGATAATATAACAGGATAGTCGGAGGAGACAAATGCACAATCGGCGATGGCTTGAATGCAATCCTAGATAAAAAATAAGTGATGACTCTATAAATAGGTCGTAAAAATTGTGTTACTCACTTTAAATAGAATTTCAGTACAGTAGGCGTGGCCGTGAGTTACAATGGGCTCCTCGTCTTCACCTTTACCATTCCAACAGTCCAGCTCAACGCATCTGCGTCAGAAAAATTAGAAAAAAGTTGGTGCAGAACACACATACTAAATAAAACCAGTATGTCAGCCAACCCAATTGCTTGAACTCACCTACAACCCGCCAGTAGCGTCTGCCGATACATTTCCACCGAACTCTTACCACCGATTTGACGACCCGACAGATAGGTGTTATGTGAGCTATTGATATAGTAATGCGCCAATGGATGATCCATTTCCATATACATTTCCAAGCGATCTAAGAATACGGGCGCATTCTCATCGGACATGAGGTAGCGCTTAAAACCATCCATCGACAATTGACCTGTGTGTTTAGAAATATTAATATAACTGTAAACTTAGCAAACTCCATGCAATAGTGTGGTACACACCCGCTTTCTTCTTCTCCTCATCCAATTCATAATCGTTGATAATTTCCGTGCAACGCTTCTCATCATAGAGAGGATATAAAATTTCATTCATACGTGGATCACGTTGCTTATCATTCATGAACTGTACGAACTGTGCCATCGAAATGACTTCCGATTTACCCTTAGTGCTGTTGAGAGTGAGGGAGTATGGGTAAAGACAAATAAGATGTAGAAAAACAAATATAAATATTGTTTATGTATGTATAAGTTAAAAGTAAATAAAAAAAAAACACTAGGCGACGTTCAGTAAATCATGTGTGGGAAGGCGCTTAGTTGGCATATAAGTAAAGTTATTGCTGACATAAGAGGTTGATCCCATTATTGTGTCTAAAACTGTCACGGAAACATTGTTTTTTTAAATTGATTTTCTGTATGGCTCGATATATGGAAGACTCGTCTAAGTTTTTTTGCTTCAGTGTCTTTTTTATGAAAAGAACGGCCTGAGGGAGGTCGATACAGGGAAGATCCAATGCTATCCGAATACTTCGATATGTCTTTTTATGATAAGAATCTAGGTCTGTCTCAGAAATATAATTTTTAACATAAATATTTTGCCTTTGGTCGACTAGCGGCAGATTTGCAGATTTTCCATTGCATCGGTACCTTTTTCATTGTAGAAATTAGAAGCTAATCCCTTGCTGTTCAAGCTTTCTTAATTTTTAAAATAGAACATCTGTCTAGTTCCCGGAAACTCGGCGTAGATTGTTTCTTGTGGTATATTTTTTATAGGACAATTAGTCCTTCTTTCTGAATTAATCGCGAATCACTTACTTTTTATCTTTTTTGGGGTAAAATCTCTTATCATCAAGTTAGTTCCTATGTTTTCTAGCGATTTTAGTCAACATTTGGATGTAACGATTCCTTCATTGTTTCTGGTAGAAATCGATATGCTTCTCAAATTAACTGTTCACCACGAACTTTAGCTCTTGCTCGGTGTCAAAAACCCATTAAATGGTTGCTTGTAAGAAATATCTTGTAGGAAAAACTAACTTTAACTTCAACTCATTGTTTCTCGATAAACTCACAACGATAAATTGTTTGCCAAAAATGTGCAAACTTTCACATTTAGGGATACCCTCGTAATTTCAAGTACACTACATACAAATATGCACATAACCACTTAAATTCACACATATCTACTCATTCATGACCCCATTCTCAACTTACATGGAAGTGAACAGCTCTTCGATGTCATTGCGTGGGCACACCTTGTGGTACAGCGCATAAAACTTATCGAATGTGAACTCTTCCTTCGTCATGGTGGCACTCTTATCGTCCGGTAGTCCGACTTCCTTAAAGCACTGATACACTAGCTTTTCCGTTTTGCCGGACGCAAAAGTTTTCGCTACCACTTTAATGGGTATCTTGCCACCTTTTTCCACCGAAAAACTTAAGCGCATCCAACTGTGTGGGATTGACGAGATATAAAGTTAAAACGTGAATCGAAATATATATGAAAAAGCATTCAATTTATTTAGTAAAAGAACTTGACATGTGTGTATGTGTAATATTTGACAGTTACAGCATGCAATGATTTGACATTTCTGAGAGTAAATGTTTGATATAAGTACGTACCTTTGAGTCCGTCTGAACCACTTACCTTTGTTGTTTGAAAGATATGAATTTAAGATGTTCCAGAGAGAAGTTTACGTAGTTGAGTAATTTAATAGTTTCAGTTTCGAAGCAAAAATAGAGTAGTGGGTGTCACTATAGAAATATAGAAAGAATGCTCTGCATAATTTGAGATTCTCTAAACCAAAAGCAGGGCTTTCTGGGGCCTTTCGAAAGTGAAAGTATGACTGTTAGATTTTCAAAGAACCCTTTCCTTACTAAGAATGACTTCGATTGACGTCTCCATTGCAATTTTTTCTCTAAGTTCAAATTTGAATCGTTTGTACTCAACAAATTTATCTGTGAGTCTAAATATAAAGTGTTCTTCGACAGCTCGGACGACCACTAAGGCATATTATATTATCATTTCCGACATGATTCTCTTTTACTATACTATAGCAAGATTTATAAATGAATTTTTGATTACTTCTTTGAAGCAACTTGCTGATTCTGTTTCGATGTTCAGTTATTTTTAGATTATTTTGTACGATTTTTAAGTCAATTTTCAATGTCTTGCCGTTCATGAATTGATTACACAAGGCTGTAGATACCTTCGTCGAGTTGATATGTGTTTTTAACTGTGTATAGTCTACATCTGTCTCTCCTGCCTATTTAATTATAAGGTCCGCCATATGAGGCTTTATAAAAACATAACTGGCTCTTTTTACTCATTAGCAAATTCCTTTCTCTATTTCCTCCCCTGAAACCCAGCCACTCTGGCCCCCTATTGCATACTTTACCTCTAGTAATTGCAAATAATTAGTTTATAATTTATTAACTGCTCAAACAAACTGCGGGCAACACACATGAGTACATACGAATACGAACAGAGATGGCAGTGGTTGGGGTGTATTGGTCAATTTCCTGTAGCATAACAAAAAGTGACTGCAAAGCATGGCAAAGGACAATGTAAAGTGTAGGAGCTCATAGCTATACGATCATTTTACAATTCTGTGAGCATTAGTTTTCTGTGTTTTTTTTTTTTTGCTGTATATTTATGTGTATGTCCTTCATTTCCTGTTAAATAGTCAACATTTTCCATATGAATAAGCAAACATATACACATAGATATGTAGTTGACCCACAGTGGTAGCATTTATTTACTTATAGTCGGCTAAAGTGGTCGGACAAATAGCAAACGGAAATTAGGTTAAATGAGTGCAATTTGAATTAGTCAAAGTAACGGTGCATAGCAAATGGCGAATGTTGAAAATTTTCAGAATGAATATTATTTTCGTTCTGTTTATTATTGTACTTGTTGCTTTTGTTGTTTTGAGGGCAAATAGTTTTGTTTTCAATGAAGTGAAAGTGAATTATAAAACTTACTGACTTATTTGAGTTCTCGAAATATTATCGCGTCGGGAGAAGTGTGGAAAGTTGGATCAAAACTCACAAACATCACTCTTATTGCTTGCCCTTCTAACGCTGTTAATAGGGTTTTTCAGCTGTCAGTAAATCTGAAAACTTCTTCTTCTTCTGCTATTCTGCTGAGATTTTTGCTGAGTGAGTTCCTAATAAAAACTACAAACTTCATGTAAAGCATGACCTAGGCTTAGGTTTTGTCATCTCTGGTACAATTTTGACTGGGACTTTATGATTGACTGGGAATATAGTAGATTTTGCAAACGGATCATTCTGTATTTATCGATTATCGGCATTTCAGTATTCTACTAATAATTTTTCTTAAAAAAAAAAAAACAATCGCAATTTGTATGTGGTATTTCTAGCATAGTATCCTTATTTTTGTAGGCAGCTCCAGGGTAGTTTGGTATTTTATTCTGTAAATGGTATGCCTTAGTGAAGCAGGGGAATGAGAGGCCCTTATCTAGATCACAGCTCCGCAGAACATTTTTCTGACGGTGAGTGGGTGCAAGCTAAGGGAGAGGGTATATAATGAAGTCTTCGCTTTATTGACTCCAGTTTCAAACTACCAGACCACTGTTACGTTTTTCTAACTGTAGCGGCTTTCAACAAGGTAGCAGTAGATGTACTGCCGCGGAGTGAGCTTTCTTCAGAGAGGCTTAAATTCACTCCGACAGCCGAAGGCTAGAACAGCTTTGAATTTTATAGCTTCAGGAAAACTGCAAAACCAATGACTTGGCTATAGAGGACACCTTTTTCACAATTTCATCCGATTCGAGTCGCTTCTTTGATGTTTGATTGCTTTCTGGCATTGGACCTTTGGACCCCCAGTGACCTCAGCATGTGCTGGTCAATAACCAGAACTGATCCAGAGTGAACCGTAAGAGGTTATCCGAATTACTGGCACTTAGCAAAGTCAGTCTCTCCACAATTATAGGTGTTCGGACTGAATACTGTACAATAGGTCTTAAAAAAATTGTGTTAAGCACAAAACGATTTGTCGATCCATGAGGATATGGCGATCAACCCGAATTTCAGTGAGATTCATCAATTTTGGATCAACCCTTTTGCCTATCACTTTTCTGACTTTAAAACTTAATTACTAAAATACTTAGGGTGAGTACTCAATTGAATGTAGTAGAGTCTTGGAGATCGATTTCCTGATAGTTGAATTTTACAACGGTTTTGGACCGAGTGGCAACCGTTTGAAGTAATATTCAAAGATCCCCAAATTCTGCTCAAATATTTCTAATGAATTTGCGAGTATCTTCTCAATGTCAAGATCTTGCATCCATGAACAGTGGTTGACACAAAAAAGAAGGATTGATTTTTTTTGGGGCAGTCGATTTTCATTGTATGGAGCTTCTGCCGAGTCACGATTTAGGCCACACAAATCGGTGTTGTCCTTGTCCTCATCATTTCCTACATTTTCCATTGGAGCATAGGTCCTCAACAAAGCGTTTCCATCTGGTTGTGTGTTTTGCTAACATCTTTATTTCGTTCAACGGTTTTCGGCATTCATAGTCTTCTTTTGTAAGAATTCCCTCCACGTGGGCTTAGAACAGCCCTTTTGCTTCTGACGATGATGAATTAAGAGATCGACCGCAGCTATAGTAGATGATTCTCTGCCAATGTCACCAAATAAATTGAAAAGCTTTCAATCACATTTTGTACACCATTTGCGCTCTTCATATAAAACATAAAGCAGCATATATAACTCGAAGTAGCGTAATATTTCATACAACTATAATAATTAGCATAGATTCGCAAAAGTCTACGAAAATGTACCCTCGTCCGTACTATTCTAAATTGTTATTAAAATTTCGCTGGAAGGCTATCTCACTCCTTTGGCAATCAATTTACTCGACCCACTCACCATTAACATCTAACCTTTGCCAGCTGCCACGCATAATCAGCTGATAAACAGGTTCAAAATAACTGAACACATGTTTTTTCCCCCACTCTTTTCACTCAGCTGCTACCCGCTAGCACTCCCATCCACGGACCAACTTCACGCCTACACAACACCCTCATTATGTGAGCACTTCCCGCCATACGCAGTGCGCGGGCTTTATGTATTCTACTGCAATCATAAATTTTCACCGAAATCCGGCATTGCCACTAAAAGACATTTATTTGTTGTATGCGCAACTCTTTTGCAGACAGCGAGCAAGCACTCGAAGCTTGCTTTCTGCCAGCGCGTACAATATGCCCTGAAGGACAATAATGCCACTCAGCGTCTCATAAGGCAACAAAATGCCAATAACAAGGAACTACTCAAGGGCTCAAGCGCTGATGCTGCTGGTAACGCGGTGAGTGGGTGAATGCTATCTGTAGGCGAGACACAGAGATACGTGCAGATGGCGTAAAGTAAGATGTGCGTTGCGAAAGCAAAGCAATATGAGAAGATAAATAAAATGAAGACAAATACTACAAGAAATTAAAAAATGAAATCCTTTGCCTCGCTTGTTGGCTTAGAATCGCAGCATCGCGGCCGCGGTAGCGCCGCCTCATTTGCGTGCCGGCGGCAAAATATTTATTTATGCAAAAATATCGTGTTGTTTGCATAGTTACGGGCACTGTTTGCTTTTCCCCGTTATGTGGCTGTTTGCATGTTGTTTTTCCAGCGTTTCCACTAAATTATGCTGCATACATTTGCATTGGACGTCTGGTGGTAAACAACTGTCCAGGCAGCGGCTACACGCAAGGTTATAAATGTTTATTTGCTGGGGCTTTCTTCTCTATGTCTCACCTGCCGCCGGCTTTTTGCGCAACTATTGGCGTAAGCGCATCTTCTCCTGCCTGTTTTATGTAGTTGTCGGCTACCATCCACAGCCAGTAAAGCCTGTTGACACAAGCGGCTGTGAAACTAAAGTAGAACTAGCGACTTTCTGTTAGGCTTTTTCTACCGCTCGACAATGTGTGTCAGTGGTCCTTGTTGCTGGCTTTACTTTAGAGATTTGCGAAATAGCAAAAATGTTCGCTTCTATTGCTGCCTATTTATCACAAAAGTGTTTGATGTGCTTTGTTGTCTTCAATTGTTTATTGTCATTGATACTTTAAGTGTCGCTTGAAGCATGGCAATGGATTTTAATACCGGATTAGGGCTAAAAGCATTTATACGCAGATATTATGGCGAATACGCATATCTGGTTCGCAAAAAGTGTTTCTAGAATGTATTTCAAAGGAGAGAGAGTGCAATTTTTACGTCTAGTCAATGATTTTTCTGGTTATACGTTGTTTTGCGTTTTTACGTTACTAGCTTTAGTACTTAGTTCTTTTTATTCCCGACTTGATCAGGAAGAGATGCAAATAGGTCTGGTAGTGAACGAGGACAAGACAAAATATCTCCTGTCATCATCAAACAAACAGTCGTCACACTCGCGACTTGTCTTCCACGTCACTGTTGGCAGTCTTCGCAACTTCGAAGTCATAGATCTGGCAATGCTTGGAATATCCAATTGAAACGGTATGATCTTTTTTCGGATGTCTGGGTAGATCCAAGGACTGCTAAGTAGTCCAGAATTAGGTACTTTTGAGTTTCCGAAACCATGTCCAACCAAACTAGCTATTTATGTTAAACATTCTTGACACTGTATTGCTCAGTGTTAGATGCAACAAGTAGCCTGTTTTGGGGACCAACCGCAATGGATGGTTTCCGCTATACCATTCGGGAAGTCGCTGTAAAGGTGGGAAGTTCATGAGATCGTCCAGATCGCCCAAAATCTGTCATACCCAATTCATTGAGAATTATTAATAACAGGCATCTTCCGAATCAAAATAACGGTACCGTGATGTTATGTTCGATAACTCTCTTTCTCTTTAAGACTTTCTGAAGTCTCTGTCTTTGTCAATTGAGTGAATATATGTATGTTAATAATTCAGAATTAGTCTAGCTTCAAGGAGTGCTATACTCTTAACACTCAACAGGTCATTGAGTGAATGGGTTTATTATTACAGTATTAGATAAGTTTCTCTGAGTGTATTGAAAGCGCCTCAAAAATGCTCTGTCTGAGGTTTGAGTGTAATGTTAGGGCCGACAAAAATAACAGCAATTGAGATTTATTTTATTATTAGTGATAATATTGCTGGAAGGAGACTCAAATGTGCTCTGCTTGAGTTTTGAGAAAATAAAAGACATATTTTTGAACTGCTCGAATAGTATCTTAAAGGCAATTTTCACTCAAAATTACTCAAATTTGAATGAGAATAATTCGGACACTTGTTGGGTAATTTGGCGTAAAACTAAATTTATTCTATTTTCTAGCAGAACTCAGAGAGGGAGAGAGAGAGTTTTTGGAAAAAATATTTTTATATTATGCATATTGTTTCCCAGCTCTTATTTTAATACATATGTGTGTACTTACCTCATTTAATATATTTTATTGAAGTAACAGTATTGACCAAATATTATTCACTAAAATTAATTTTTTTTTTAATTTTTGTACTTACTGCTTCATTAAATTTGTTCTCGGGCACACATTGGTTGCCTTATTATTATGTGTTATATAACGTAAACCCTCTTGCCAGCGCTGTTTATTTACATTTCAATTAATTTGTTTTATATATTTTTAACGTATAATATTTATATTGTGCAAATGAGATGTGCAGACATGCAAAGTAAAGAATTTTATTAAAAATAAATTAATAGAAATTAAAGAGTAATATAAACAGATTGAAATAGTTAAACGAGTAGAAATATATTTTAAAATTTAAAGACAAACACAAAACATTACTAATAAAATGTTACTTGAAGGTGCCTAGAAAATTCTTTTTAACACTAAAAAAATGTAGTAGAGTTAGAGTATAGTTTTTGTGAAATTATTTTTTTTAAAGGTAACCAGAAAAAATATATCAAAAACAAATACATATAGAAAATGTAAGAAAAAGTGGGCAGTAAAAGTTAAATGATATTTTTCCAAATTGCAGAGATTTAGCAGAGTTAGAAAAAAGGCTTGGTGGAACTATTTTAAATAAAGGTGACCAGAAAAGATATTTTTAACAAAATACAGAGCTGAAGCAAAGCTAGAAAACGGTATTTGTAAAAAAATAAAGCGATTATTAAAGATTCTTAACCTTAGTCTTCGCCATTAAAGAAGAATAAGAACTCTAGTTAAGTGAAAATAAAAGTATTTATAATAGACCACAAATAGTTAAAACGCAACAATATACACAAAAGCATTTAAAAAATGGTAGTTAATAGAAAAAAATTATAGAAAATTTTATTTGCTAATTTTCAAACAAATTTTTTGCGCAACATTTCTTTAGATAATTGCATGCTTTACTTTGAAATATATATATTTTTTTAATTTT